TGAGCTGTAATGCCATGGCACTCTGCCCAGGGGGACAGCTTGAGGCTCTGTCTCATTTGTATGCTCATATTTAAATTAAAAAACTTTTTTTTTTTTTTGAGACAGAGTTTCTGTCACCCTCAGTAGAGTGCGCTGACATCACAGCTCACAGCAAACTCAAACTCCTCGGCTCAAGTGATTCTTCTGCCTTAGCCTCCCAAGCAGCTGTGGCTACAGGCGCCTGTCACAATGCCTGGCTAATTTTTTGTTGCAGTTGTCATTTTGGTTAGCTGGCCCAGGCTGGGTTTGAACAACTTTGGTGTATATGGCTGGTGCTGTAACCACTATGCTACATTTTTGTCAAGTCAAAGAAACTTTTTTGTTTTTATCTTCCTTTATATTTGCAACTTTGTGCTTAGAGACTATAGGGATTTTCTGTTTTTTTTTTTTTAGAGATAGAGGCTCACTTTATCCCCCCTGGTAGAGTGCCGTGGCGTCATAGCTCATGCAACCTCCAACTCCTGGGCTTAGGTGATTCTCTTGCCTCAGCCTCCCCAGCAGCCAGGACTACAGGCATCCACCACAATGCCTGGCTATTTTCTTGTTGCAGTTTGGCTGGGGTCAGGCTCGAACCCACCACCCTTGGTATATGGGGTTGGCGCCCTACCCACTGAGCCACAGGTGCCGCTGCTACAAGGATTTTCTTTCAAATTCTAGCCTCTTCTCTTTTACCCTCTACATTTATGCCAGATGACTCCTCTTTACACAAATATATGCACATATATGTTTATGAGAGAAAATCTGGAAATAATAAGCAAATGAAACAGAGAAGAGCAGCCCCTGACAATTAGTCTGGTGTCAGAGAGCCTTGTGGTTGGGTCCTCACAGTGTGCTGTTTTCTTACCAAACGTAAATAATTTGACAGAATACAGATATCAGACAAGGCCACTCTATGACTGTGGTACATCACTCTGTAATCAAGCCCGAACACGGACAAAGAGCGCACATTGTCCAATATACAAAAATGACTAAACATCTCCCATCCTAATAATATCAGCAAGTGCTGTTTCTTAACCAATCACAGTTTTAGCCTTGCTGTAGCCTGCTTTCCTTCTAAATAAGACTTAAGTAGCCCAATTACGGAATTATATCTGCTTTTTGACAGCAATTCAGAGCTAAGCCCCTTATTTAACACTTCCCAAATCTCACACAAACCCAAACCATTTAAGTCCTTTCTAATACCCTCTAGCTAAGACCTATCCCTCAGTTCTTTCTTTTTTTTTTTTGAGACAGAGTCTCACTATGTCACCCTCTGTAGAGTGCTGTAGTGTCACAGCTCACAGCTCACAGCCCACAGCCCTCAGCCTCTTGGGCTTAAGTGATTCTCTTGCCTCAGCCTCCAAAGTAGCTGGGACTACAGGCACTCACCACAATGCCTGGCTATTTTTTGGTTGAAGCTGTCGTTGTTGTTTCAGCTGACCTGGGCTGGTTTCGAACCCACCAACCTCATTATATGTGGCTGGCACTATAACCACTATGCTATGGGCACCAAGCCTATCCCTCAGTTTT